TGTGTGTGTGTGTGTGTGTGTGTGTGTGTGTGTGTGTGTGTGTGTGTGTGTGTGTGTGTGTGGTGGATATATCCCTGTATCCCCCTGCCTATTAGTGTCTGGCCACAAAGCAGAAAAGCATCTTTTAAATGAATTCAAGATGATTGAACAGGATGAATCTGAGATATATTACCATATGGTAGTTTGGGTCATAAAAAACAAACTAAATGAAGCCAGACCTCAGTGCTGACACACATAATCCTAGCTTCTCAGGAAGGTAAGATCTGATAATCATGGTTCTAAGCAAGCCCCTGCAGTAAAGTCCATTAGACTCTTATCTCTAATCAGCAAAAAAAAAAAACAACAACAACCCAGAAGTAGAGCTATGGCTCAAGTGATAAGAGTACTAGCCTTTAGCAAAAAGCTCAGGGACAACACACAGGCCCTGAGTTCAAGCTCTAGTACTGGCACCAAAAAGAAAAACAGAAAACTACCTCAATGAACAAGGCCTAAGTGTTGTATTACTACGAAGTTATTAACATGAAGCAGAACCTTTTGGAAAAACCAGTAAATTCCAGGTATGAAAGCTTATACAATTCAAATCTACAATGTAAATTCACAGATTAAAAACTCTAAATGTAACTATTGTAAGCATATAGAAACATGTGTCCAAAACATCAGTTCAGGGCTGGGAATGTGGCTTAGTAGTAGAGTGCTTGCCTTAAATTGAAGCCCTGGGTTGGATTCCTCACATAAATAGAAAAAGCCAGAAGTGGTGCTGTGGCTCACATGGTAGAGTACTAGCCTTGAGCAAAAGAAGCTCAGTTCAAAACTGGCACAAAAAAAAAAGATCAGTTCAGACACAGTGAAAAACCTTCAAAGAGATTACTACTATAGTGATGAGAGGGCCTAGGGATGAGGGTCAGTGGTAGAGCAGTCCGTTCCCCAGTCCGTCTGAGCTGGAGTCCCCGCAAGCCTCTCCAAAATAAGACAAACAAGCAAAACAAAACAATAACAACAACAAACAAACTCAACCAAAAGAAACCTGTTGAAACACTTCTATCAGGTGGAAATTCCATTGTACCCAGACTAAAAGATTCACCCACATCTTTCTCAAAGGGCCATTTCATTACATGTAGAGCCTCAATTTTGAAAACAAATGTCCTACAGACAGATAACACATACTGGCTGTATGCATCTACCACCAGAATCCAGAGCTGATACATTCTAATACTAACTTCTAAAGTATGTAAGTTAATACTCAATCTCTTCCCACAGCAGAATCTTTTTTTTTTTTTTTTTTTAATCGGTCGTGGGGCTTGAACTCTGGGCCTGGGCGCTGTCCTTCAGCTCTTCAGCTCAAGGCGAGCGCTCTACCCCTTGAGCTACAGCGCCACTTCCGGTTTTCTGGTGGTTTATTGGAGATAGGAGTCTCACGGTCTCTCCTGCCCGGGCTGGCTTTGAACCGCGATCCTCAGATCTCAGCCTCCTGAGTAGCTAGGATTACAGGCGTGAGCCACCAGCGCCCGGCTCCACAGCAGAATCTTAAGTCACTATATCAAAATTAAAACAACTCATAAAACAAAAAATACAATAAAACTAACATAAAAATGACAAATAGACAATCTACTTCAAAAGAATACTGTAAGGACCAAACAAATATTCACTTGTGATTTATGTAGTTGTCAGAATGTGTAACCCAATGAAAAAATTCCAAGAGTATAAAAAAGTTACTTTTGTAAAAATCATAAAGCAGTATTCAGTCACTTATCTTTAAATAGTGAAAGGATTACAAACTAGTTAAATGAGTAGGTAGGTACAAACTAATAAGAAGAGGAACAAAAATTTCCTGATGCTCTTTCTCCAACATCTGGAAAGAGAATTTCAGAAGAAACACTATCCAGCAAATCCAATGACTCGGAAAGGTAGCAGAGTAGTCTATCTCAGTGCAGAGTTAAGATATGAAACAAGAGACAAGGGAGAATCATTCACTAACAAAAGTTTGCACATTAGAGCACTTGTACTTTAAATTTACATAAGGAAAAAAATGGAAAATCTCTAACTTCTCTTTATTTGAGTTAAAAAGAAAAGGAAACTATGCAAGTTTTTTTTAATGATTTGAAAAATGACCTTCAACCAAATAACAGCATTGGAATTCATAAAACCAAAGATAGACTCTCTAATCTATATATCTAGAAAACATCAGAGATACAGAATATACATAGGTGCTAAAATTAATTTTCTTTAATCCCTAAAATGAGTTTGTTTGCCTTTTTTTTTTTTTTGGTTAAATGTTAAGTGGAAGGGGAACCCATTAGTTGTTTTTTGGTTGCCGTTATTTTGTATTTTGTTGGTTGTGAGGCTTTAACTCTGTGCCTGAGCACAGTTCCTGAGCTCTTCAGCTCAAGGCAAGTGCTCTAACACTTGAGCCACAGAACCACTTCCAGTTTTCTGGTGGTTAATTGGAGATAAGAGTCTCACTGACTTTCCTTGCCCAGGCTGGCTTTGAACCACAATCCTCAGATCTCAGCCACCTGAGTAGCTAGGATTACAGGCATGAGCCCCCAGCACCCAGCTATTATATGATTTTTAATACTTGAAGTCTAATATGGTAAAAGATGTAAGAATCTGAATTGTTAATTATATCCTGGCCTATATATCCCTTCTAGTATTTAGTGTACCAACCAACCATCAATCAACCAAAACTAAAAGCAAAGTTTTGAAACAAGGGTCAGAGCAACTTTCTGGAAAGAAAAACATGTCATTTCTCTACAAAAGAAAAGAAAAATAATAATGTGAACAATACGTGATTTACAACCACTACAGAAAAAAAAGATATTAACTCCAAATAAATACTGCTGTTTAAAAAAAATACTTTTGTGGGGCACCAACGGACTTCTGTTATACTAGCTAAAAATGGTAACACAAAGATTCCAGGCCAGCCCAAGCATAAAAGCTCACAAGACTCCATTATAACAGAAGAAGCTGGGCATGATGGCATGTCAGTCAGCATGTCAGTGCTAAAACAGGCAGACCACAGTCCAGGTATACATCTAGAAAAGAAGAAAGATCCTGCCAGGCACTGGTGGCTCAGGCCTATAATCCTAGTTACACAGGAGGCTGAGATCTAAGGATCACAATTCAAAGCCAGCCCAGGCAGAAAAATTCCTTAAGACTCTTATCTCCAATAAACTACTCAGAAAAATCTGGAAGTAGTGCTGTGGCTCAAGTGCTAAAACACTAGCCTTGAGCAAAAACATGCTCAGGGACAGCACCTAGGCCCTGAGTTCAAGTCCCAGGACCAGAAAAAAAAATCCAATCTCAAAAATAACCAGTGGGGAAGTGGCGCTGTAGCTCAAGTGGTAGAGCGCTCGCCTTGAGCTGAAGAGCTGAGGGACAGCACCCAAGCCCAGAGTTCAAGCCCCACGGCCAACAAAAAAAAAAAGAGTCTTGTAGACATGGGGCTGGGAAGGTGGCTCAGTGGTAGAGCGTATGCCTTGCATGCCAGAGGCCCTGAGTTCGATTCCTCAGCACTACATAAGCAAAAAGAAAAAAGCCAGAAGTGGTGCTGTGGCTCAAGTGGTAGAGCGCTAGCCTTGAGCTGAAGAGCTGAGGGACAGCACCCAGGCCCAGAGTTCAGGCCCCACGACCGGACAAAAAAAAAAAAAAAGAATAAAAAAATAACCAGTGGGAAATAAGGGTTGGAGGTATGGCTTACCCTATAAAGTACCTGCCTAGCAAGTGCTAGACCCTGGATTCAATCCCTAATACTGCTGAAAAAAAACAAAAATACTTCTGAAGGTAAGGACACTAATATGAAATGGTTAGAAAATATAATACTTTCCTCAACGTAAGAGATGCAAAAATGTAATCCCTTTATTTTACACTACTTTCTTTGTACCACTTAAGCCCTACTAACATGAACAAAATTTTTCCTGAAATAAAGAAAAACTTACTGAAAGCTCAAAAGAATAAACATGATCTTCAGGGCAGGGAACATCCAGCCTGTGAGCCATACAAGGTTTAAGAAACCATTTGATCCTTGGGCCCATGGCCGTCTGCTTATATTAATAATTTTGTATGCTTGAACTGCTGTCATAAAATATTCAAGTGGCCACAGGCAGAAAAAAGAGGTTTCCCACTCTTGCTTAAGGGACATCCCTTGCACTATTTTTAAATCAGAAGAAATGTATTTTTTATTTTGTTTGAAAGGAAGCACTGTAACATCCATTCAACTGAATAAAAGGAACCTTTTCAAAGAAGGTAATACTGAAAATCCCATGGGGTAGTACTCAGTGTTGATGCTGGCATTCAGATTTCATGATAGCACACCTCACGAGGGGGACATCCCTCAGGACAGGTTTGTGACACACGAGATGTGGAGCGTGGACACAGACTGAAAGACAAAGCAGTTACCCAAGAGGAATGCTCCTTCATCTGGTGCTGGTTGCTGTGCGGGCCACTGGCATGGCCACGCCAGAAGCAGTTCTGGCAGAGCTGGTAGTTGTGGCACTGCTGGCATCTGTACCGGAAGCCCATCATGCTCTCCGAGTGGCAATAGGAACACTCCACAGGATGAAAGACTGGCGGCAGGAGGGAGAGAACAGGGAGAGAAGTGATTCATCTGGACAATGATCAAGACAGAGGAGCCAAATCTAATCTAAAAGCCAATGAGGAGCAACACTGCAGACGAGCAGTCTACACTGCTTGCTTCTTGTCACCAAGGTATTTCAAAGGAATGACCCAAGTGCAAAGAGGTGTGTGCTTAGAATTCCCCCAGCCAGCATCAGCACAGCTGGTGTTTGTAATTCGAAGTATTTATTCTGGGATAATGTGAAATATGTTTAGAATTCCAAGTGATAACTATAGCTTCCTATTAAATTATATAGGCATATTAATATTAAGGGATCAAATGTACTCTGATACATTTGGTTGAACAGATATGGCTTTTTGTGCCATTCTTCTGTTCTCCTCTAAGCTAGTGAAGAGCCAGTGCACACAGGGGGGGCAGCAGGGGGTGGGAAGCATGTTGGTGGAAGTCGAGGACTGGCAGGATAAAGGTTAGTGTGGTGCTGAGTCACCTGCTAATAAGGTAAGGATTGTTCAGGTTGTAGTAACAGTATAGTTTTTGTAGTGTGTCATGTAACAGTTACCTTCTTATTCTCTCTACACTTAGAATCTTAGATTCATAATCCAATACAAAACAATGCCACTTTCACAGGGGCTGGGAAGGTGGCTCAGTGGTAGAGTGCTTGCCTCGCATGCCTGAGGCCCTGGGTTCGATTCCTCAGCACCACATAAGCAAAAAGAAAAAAGCCGGAAGTGGCGCTGTGGCTCAAGTGGTAGAGTGCTAGCCTTGAGCTGAAGAGCTGAGGGACAGCGCTCAGGCCCAGAGTTCAGGCCCCATGACCAGACCCAAAAAAAGCAAAAACAACAATGCCATTTTCACTTATGCAAATAAATATTTATTCTTTTGAATAATTATTCCAATACATATGAAGGACCTAAACAAACAAAAAAACCACATAATTTTAGAATTGGTTTCCCACTATAACAAAATAATATATAGACAAATGTTGATCAGAAATAGCTAGGCATTTTATAACATCTGTAAGGATAAATAGTAGCACCAACCCTATTAGAATGGGATCGATAAATGACATACTTCAACAGACATAGTAAAATAGTCATGTGGTTAACAATGCATTTTGTCAAATGAGCTTCTCATAGCAGATACAAAATGATTTTGTGAAAATTAATTACATATGAAACTACTAAAACACTTATGGCTATAAATACACTGCCCCACAAGGAATAATAACACTATAGTAATTCAGTAACTAAATGTCCCTTCAAAAATCCTGCTTAAAAATTTAGCTGTTTTAGCTCGCTGGTGGCTCACGCCTGTAATCCTAGCTACTCAGGAGGCTGACATCTGAGGATCGCGGTTCAAAGCCAGCCCGGGCAGGAGAGACCGTGAGACTCCTATCTCCAATAAACCACCAGAAAACCGGAAGTGGCGCTGTAGCTCAAGTGGTAGAGCGCTCGCCTTGAGCTGAAGAGCTGAGGGACAGTGCCCAGGCCCAGAGTTCAAGCCCCACGACCGACAAAAAAAGAAAAAAAAAAATTAGCTGTTTTAGACTTGTCTGGGTTGTGAATACTAGTGAAGGGCAAAGCGAAAATGGAGAGGATAAAGAAGAGTCAATACGGCCCAAACAGTTTATGTACATGTGTGAAAATGTTATAATGAAGCATGCTGAATATAGTTTGGTAAGGGGGGGGGGTAATGAAGGACAGTGACATACACACACATGGACACAGACACGGACACACACACAAAGACACACCAAAATGAAATCCGAACCTGACAAAACAGGTGCATGCCTATAATACTAGCTACTCAGGAGGCTGAGATCTAGAGGGTCACAGTTCAAGGCCAACTGAAGCAGAAAAGTCTAAGACCCCATATCCAAATTCACCAACAAAAAAATAGGGTTGGAAACATGTTGTAAATGGCAGAGTGCCAGTTGAGCAAGCAAGCCGAATGAGTACAAGGTCCTGAGGTCCAACCCCAGTTCTCCCCCTCCCCCACCACCGACCCCAAAAAGAAAAGAATTCTCTTTGTACAACTAATTGAGGCTCATAAAAAAAATAAAATAAAAAGCCCTGCAATCTCAGGGCTTTGTCTGAATCACCAGGTTTTATGACCTGTATTATTCTCAGAATCTTAAGTAATAAGCCTCCACCCTTTCAGTAAAAAAAAAAAAAGTATTCCTCTTTTGAAAGTTAAAACCACAACTTGAAGTGATGGGAGCTTCAACAAGCTTATAATTTTCACTGATAAAGGCCAAGAAAAGACACTGCAAATACTCAGTTCCTGTACCAGAATGGAATGAAAAGCTCAGCTCACCATTCTCCACATGGGCAAGCCTGTGCATGAGAGGTAGCCAGACAAGGCACTGCGGGGGAGGATCAGCCATCATTGTATCTAAGAACATGTTCAGCATTATCTTCTTCTGTAAAGAGAAGGAAAACAAATACATTTTGTATCTTGCAAGTCTCTCTAAACCCCCATAATTTCATATTCTCCCAATGAAGCATGCATGTGAAATACTGAAGCCATATTTTACATTATTGCAGTCACTATGACACACAATTACTGTATGAAAGTATGTTTCCGCACACATTATTCCACTTGAGTTCCAAAACAACTGTATAAAGTAAACAGGTTAGGTCTTAATTATCTTCATTTGATAGATAAGGAGGGGAAAAAAGAGCAAAGCATTTAAGTGACTAGTAACGGTCCTACTCAAATCAGGCACAGAGCCAGGACCAGAACTCTTATGTCCATCCAGTCACCATTTCTGCCATCTAAAGGGGGAGCCAGACATTTCATACCTGATAATAAGCCATCATCTATGGGTGTCTGCTACTCACCTGCCATTTTTCCAGTAGTACCAACAGTACTTGGGAAAAATGGCACTTGATAAATAACTGCTGAAGTAAATAATAAAGCAAAAAGCAAACATTCTTAGATTTCATTTAATGGCTCCCTCATCTGTAGAAAAGAAAATGGAAGCTTATGACAGCTGTGTAACTTCTGTGACAAAGCCCCAGAGAATTATGGTAAGGGTGAGCTCGCTGTGTACACCCTCCATCTCCTGGATAGAAAACACTCCCCTGTGCTCTTTTCATTTGCATCTCAGTGTAAGCTTCCACTACAGATGAAACACACACATGATTGTGTTCCATACAAAGAAAATTAGAAAAGTCAAGAAAGACAAGATCAGAGAATTCTATGGTGAGACATAATATATTCTCAACAGTATTTCAAATTTCTCTTTCTTTCTTCCAAGCCATAAAACACCTTTCTAGGTCGCAGGGAAAGGAAGAAGGAGCTGAGATATAGGGTGATGCAGCCAGGCAGGGGCCTAGGATATATTGTTGGGCTCACTTCAAAGTGCTCTCTGAAGGGGATACAAGGCAACACACAGGGACTGCTCAGACACATAAAGAGGCATTTTCCATGTCCTGAGCCCACCATCTGAAGGTGGGGTGGGGATTGGGATGGGGCCAAAAGGACACCCAGAATTTCACCTCACTCTTTCCCCCACTTGTGTCTCATGAATAGGGTATTTCACAATTACACTTTTAAAAATGCCCCCCCCATCCCCAGTGGAAAAGAATGATAGGAAAGATAATATTGAGTAAAGCCAGCTGCTTGTGAAATAACTTGGATTTTGCCATTCATGCAATGAATACTAACAGGCAGTGAGGAGGGCAGGCGCCGTGGGGCTTAGCCAGGACAGGGCTGTCAACTGCGCCACAAAAGGACCTTTCCCCACCCTCCACAAGGAGGCCGCACACACTCACTCCACTCCCCCGTGCCTTCTGACCACTATGAGAATCTACTCCAGTAGCTGGAAGCCACTCTGACTGAAGACAATCTCTCAAGAAGGAGCTAGTAGACAGGGAGTAGAAAAGGGAGGTAAAGATGAGGCAGCGCCACAGGAAGAACTTGGAAAAGCAAACCAAGAGGAGGTCGGATCCAGGGCCAACACTGAGGGAGGGAAGAGGCCAAGTCCTCTCCACACAGCTGTGGGCCGACAGTCAGGCTGAAGTTAGCCTCAGCAGCGGTATCTCAGTGTTGCCCATCTCAGGCATCCATGTTTATGCTGTCTGAGACCCCAATGGAGTCTGGGAGAAGGAGCCAACATCACTAAATCCAGAAGGCCAGTTAGCATTTGAACAGATCAGACAAGGAAAGCACCTCTAGTTTGGACATGAAATGACCACCAAGCCAAAAGAAAACCAAGTGTCTATTTTAGACCCCTGAGAAAAGATGGTATCAAGTTTTTCGTCAGCTAGTAAAAGGCAGAGAGCACAAGTTAAAATGTATCCTATGTTTTATAAATATAATGTTTCTAGACCTTTATGTATTTGTTAAAAACTACATTTTCCAAACCCGCTTTTTTTTTGGCCAGTCTTGGGACTTGATCTCAAGGCCTGGGCATTGTCCCTGAGTCATTCTGTTCAAGGCTAGTGCACTATCATTTGAATCACAGCTCCACTTCTGGCCTTTTGGTAGTTAATTGGTGATAAGAGTCTCATAGATTTTTTCCAACCAGGACTGATTTCAAACTGCAATCCTCATATCCCAGCCACCTGAGTAGCTAGGGTTACAAGCATGAGCCGGCAGCACCCAGCTCTACTTACAATCTTTTTGGGTCTTTTGGGTTTTTTTGTTTTGTTTTGTTTTGCCAATCCTGGGGCTTGAACACAGGGCCTGAGCATTGTCCCTGAGCTTCTTTTGCTCAAGGCTAGCACTCTACCACTTGAACCACAGCACCACTTCCAGCTTTTCCTGTTCATGTGGTACTAAAGAATCAAACCAAGGGCTTCATGAATGCTAGGCAAGCACTCTACCACTAAACTACATTCCTAGCCCCTCCACTTACAATCTTAATGCTACTTTCTCTAGAAAGTTTTGGTTCACCAACTATAGGGAAAAAAAAAAAACTTCAAGATTTAAAAAAAAGGTCTTGGGTTGGAGGCATGGCTCAATTGGTAATGTGCTAGCCAATGAGTGAAACTATCAGGTACCAAGTTTAAGTTCCCGTCTCAGACCCAAAACAAACAAAAATTCTTATTTTGATATCCTAGAAGATTATCCACTTCAAATTATATTCTAAATCCAGGAATTCTCCAGACGCATGAGGAATGGAAGGGGAAGAGGAATGGAAGGGGAAGTGGAAGGGTTATACCCTAGAACTCTGCCTTTCCCCCTACCTTGTCATTTGGTGAAAATACCTAACATGTCAATTTCTGGTTTTCTCAGCTATCGAGGGCTAGAAATATGGTTTGAAAAGTGTGGTCTGGGGCTGCCTGGGAGGTCCTTAACATTTTCAGGGAGCCCATGAGGCCAAATTGTTTGGACAATACTAAGACAGTGTTTGCCTTTCTATCTTGTCCTCTTGTGCATGCAGTGGGGTTTTCTAGAGGCCACATAACAAGACAAAATGATCTGAAAAAGCAATTGAAAGACTCCATTTTCCAGCTATGTAGTGTGTGAAGCTACATTTTAACCAAAACAACGCATCAGGACAGACTAAATGGATAAGCAGATGGAAGAACCCATCTGTGTTCTAATGAGCCAAAATTAAAATTAGAGATTTGTAAAAATACGTAGCATTGGTAAATTTCTCGTTAAATTTTTGTTGTCACAAAAATGCTATTTATGTAAACATGTAATAAGATTTTTAATTTCTCAATTTTAATTTCTAATATAAAAATATTGCCAACAGTTCTTTGGGGTTTTCAATCATTTCTAGTGTAAAGGTTCTAAGAAAAAATTTTAAGAACTGTTAGAAGACAATTTCCAGCACTTATATTTTATGACTCAGTTAAACAAAACCTCAATAACAAAAACAATGTAAAAGGCAGGCTGACTTTCTCTTTAGCACTCTTTTTATGTTGTTTTCATTTTGCTCATGAGTTTTACCACATTCTTTGTATTTCTCATTAGTTTTCAGCACAATACTGGTTATAACAAACATTATAATAAAAATTAAACAATGTACATTCCTATCACAGTTTTTTTATTTCTCTCCAGATGTATTTCTATATAATTAAGAATAAAGGGTAGCCAGGCACCAGTGACTCACACCTGTAATCCTAGCTACTCAGAAGGCTGAGATCTGAGGATAGCAGTTCAAAGCCAGCCCCTGCAGGAAAGCCTAAGAGACTCGTATCAATTAACCATCAGAAAACCAGAAGTACAGCTGTAGCTCAATGTGGTAGAGTGCTAGCCTTGAGCAAAACAGCTCAGGGACAAGAGACGTGGAGCTGTGGCTCAAGTGGTAGAACACTAAGCTGAGCACAAAACCTCAAGGACAGCACCCAGGCCCACAGTTCAAGCCTCAAGACCAGAAAGAAAAAAAAAGAATAGAGGGTAAATATAAATAAATATATGTTTTTCCATTCAAAAATGTGTTAAACTTGTCACTTTGTACACACTCTTCATTTCTAATCATTTCAACAACTGCTGATCTACAGAGCGACACCACTACGGTTTATATACATCTTCCTCTACTAGAGCAATCAGGTGTCCTACCTTTGAATATAGCCTCATATTTTTTCTCAGAAACAAGTATTCCTGTTTTTTGTCCCCTGTTGTTCTAATCCTTGATACTTTACTACTATTCCACATTATTATTCTCACCTCTCTTCCTCTGTCTTCTTCTCTACCTTTTCAAATGGGAGGAAAGACAATCTTGGTTTAAACTTGGGACCATCATACTTATGAGGCTAGCTAGATACCACTGAGCCATGCCTCCAGCCCTTTAGCTTTTAAATGGTCATTTTAAAAGGTCATTTTAAATGGTCTTGCTTAGGCATGTACCTGAGCAACTATCTACTTACTTTTGGGTAAGTTTTTGCTGAGATCACAAGCCCAAGCAAGCATCAAGCTTCCTGTGGGCTTTTCGGCGAAGATGGGCCTGGAATAGTAATCCCTTTAGCAATCCTCCAATCTCAGCAGCTCACAAGACTAGGATGACAAGCATGGGCCACTTGAGAAAAGGTCTCTTGAGATTTTCTGCCTAGGCTAGCCTTGAACTGCAATTCTCCTGTTCTCAGCCCCTCAAAGTAGCTAGGATTACAGGTGTGACCCACTCTAACCTGGCTTTGCTGTATTTTAGTTGTTAGTGGTAGTAATGATAGTGGTCATGAGGTCTGAACTCAGGGCATGGGTGCTGCTCCTCCACCAAGCCAGAGAGAATGAAGGGGGCTCCCCGCTGCTATGCTGCACGCCTTGGGCCAAGGAGAGTGAGAAGAGATCAAAGACAAGATAGGGGCCAGAGCAATCAGCAATGCCAATAAAAAAGATAGGCCAGGCTGGAATGATGTGAGTCATGAAGGCCCACTAGGAACCTCATCCATTAGGCAGTGGAAGTTAGTTAGAACATGAGAGAGAGAGAGAGAGAGAGAGAGAGAGAGAGAGAGAGAGTTTTATTTT